AGAGGCAGCTGAGGAGTACCTGAGGGCCAAGCGGTCCTCAGCCTTGGCTGTTGCTGAGACAAAAGCTCAGATGTGGGAGGAGTTTGCTGAGACCTTGGATAAAGACCCTCAGTCAGCTCCGAGGAGAATCTGGTAAACCATCAGGAGGCTGAGGAGGAGAAGCAGCTCTTTACTAACTCATCTTCTGCACGGCTCCGACTCAGCCCTCCACAGAAAGATCCCTGTTCCACCAGTTCAGGACCTTGTTGGGTTCCTGCTTCTCTGGTGGGAGCGTTGGAGCTGAGTCGAGACAGAACCATGACGTCAGAACGCTGTCAGTCACTGACTGGTCAGGGGGAGGAGTCAGGGGGAGGAGTCACTGGATCTCAGAAACTTTTCAGCGATCCTCCATTTGCAATTTGTCAGAACTCGGAGCAGCAGCTGGATCTATTTTAAGATTTTAAAAACGATGATGACATCGCCGTGTTTAACGCTGAAGTCCAGGTGGTTTTTGTGTTTGGTGACCGACGACAAAATCTGAGCGAGCGGAGTCACCGCGGAGGATCATACGAGCTGCAGACCTGTTGAAGCCCGCGAGGCCGGACCCTGAGCCCCGGCAGGCGGGAGGACCGGGAGGACCGGGAGGACCGGGAGGACCGGGAGGACCGGGACTCTGTGACGGAGGATGGAAACTTAAAAAAAACATTTCATGTATCAAAAATAATGTTTTTATCAGTGAAGAATAAAATTAATAAACGGTGCCGGCTTTATCATGAAATCCTGTTTTCACTTGGACTTTATTAAATAATCTGTTAATTAAAGTTAACTCAGCTGAAAAATCATCAAAGACACAAAATGACTGGATGTCAGGAATATTTCCCTGAAACATGTTTAAAGAAGAGACGCAGCCTTTAGTTCAACTTTATTCTAACACACACACGTGCAACTCACTAAACAAGAACTAAACTTTAAATCACTCAAATAAAATCTGCATACAAGAAACAAAAGCACATTTCTAAATTAAACAATAAAAGTAGACACTATGATACATCAAATGATGAAGAAAAATATGGAATTTTAAATATTATATAATTTTAAATATAGATGTTTTTGTAGAATCTGCTTCATCTGATTTAATTCAGTTTATAAATCTCCAAGTCACAACAGAAGTGTCTCAGGGACTGAATGTATAAATGTATTCATGTATAAAATAATAATTGAACATTGTTTATCTGAGGAGCAGCTTTGACTTGAACTCATCACTGGGTGAACTAAAGTTCATTAAAAGTTCATTTGCAGGATTTTGGATCGAAGGTGCTGACCTCAACCAGTGATGTCATCAGGAGGTGGAAGGAATACTTCTGGGACCTTCTCAGTCCCACCAGCACGTCTTCCATGGAGGGAGCTGAGTCGGGGACTTTAGACTGGTCCGTGTGTAACTGTGTCTGAGGAAGTTAAAAGCTCCGAGGCGGCAGGACTCCAGGAGTGGATGAGTCTCTCCCTGATTTCCTTAAAGCTCTGGATGTTGTGGAGCTTCTTGGTTGACTCGTCTTTGCAACATCACGTGGACATGGGGGTAGTGCTGCTGGATCAGCAGACTGGGTGGTGGTTCCCCTCCTCAAAAAGGGACTGGAGGGAGTGAAACACTTACAGGAGCATCACTCTCCTCTGTCCTGGAACTCTGGAGCAGCTCTTTACCCTCACTAGGGTCCTTGACGGGTCACTGGAATTTGCTCATCCAGTCTACATGTGTTTGGTGGACTTGGAGAAGACTTTCGACCGTGTTCCTCGGGGGACACTGTGGGGGTGCTATGTGAGTATGGGACTGGGGGCCTGAGCTGTTCAGTCCATATACAAGAGGTGTGAGAGTTTGGCTCTCATTGCTGGTAGTAAGCTGGACCTCCAGGGCTGCTCGATGTCACAGATTCTGTTCAAAACTTTTATGGACAGAACTTCTCGATGCAGCCGGGGGCGGGGGAAGTCCGGTTCGGTGGCCTCAGGATTCACCTCTGCTCTTTGCAGATGATGTGGTCCTGTTGGCGTCATCGTGCCGTGATCTTCAGCTCTCACTGGAGCGGTTCGCAGCTGGGATGAGAACCAGCACCTCCAGGTCTGAGGTCATGGTCCATCCATCCATTTTCTTCTGCTTATCCGGGGTCGGGTCGCGGGGGTAGCAGCCTAAGTAGGGAGGCCCAGACTTCCCTCTCTCCAGCCACTTGGTCCAGCTCTTCCGGGGGAATCCCGAGGTGTTCCCAGGCCAGAGAAACATAGTCCCTCCAGCGTGTCCTGGATCTTCCTCTGGGCCTCCTTCCAGTGGGACGTGTCTGGAACACCTCACCAGGGAGGCGTCCAGGAGGCATCCTAACCAGATGCCCGAGCTACCTCAACTGGCTCCTCTCGACGTGGAGAAGCTGCGGCTCTACTCTGAGTCCCTCCCGGATGATCGAGCTTCTCACCCTGTCTCTAAGGGAGAGCCCAGACACCCTGCGGAGAAAACTCATTTCAGCTGCTTGTATCAGAGATCTCGTTCTTTCGGTCACAACCCAAAGCTCGTGACCATAGATGAGGGTAGGAACGTAGATCGACCGGTACATTGAGAGCTTCGCCTTTTGACTCAGCTCTCTCTTCACCACGACAGACCGGTACAGTGCCCGTTTCACTGCAGATGCTGCACCTATCCACCTATCGATCTCACGCTCCATTTTTCCATGGTCATGGTCCTGAACCAGAAAAGTGTGGATTGTTGTCTTCAGGTCGAGGGTGAGGTTCTGCCTCAACTGGAGGAGTTCACGTATCTCTGGGTTTGTTCACGAGTGACAGAAGAATGGAGCGTGAGATTGACAGATTGATGCAGCATCTGCAGTATTGTGGACTCTGTACCGGTCCATTGTGGTGAAGAGGGAGCTGAGCTGTAAGGCAAAGCTCTCTGTTTACTGGTGTTTCAGGAATGTTTGACTGGGAGGACACCCCGGGGAAGACCCAGGACACTCTGGAGAGACAATGTCTCTGTTGTCCTGGGAACACCTTGGAGTCCTCCCAGAAGAGCTGGAAGAGACTGTGGGGTGACGTCTGGACCTCCCTGCGCAAGCTGCTGCCCCCGGCTTCAGAACAAGATGATGGATGTAATAAAATATGAAGTAGTACAAAGTAATAGCTGTTTAGTTGTTTGTTTGTTTATTTGTTAAGTTGTTTACCAGCAGGTCCACCATGTTTGGTTTGTTGTTTCGGAGCGTCTTCACTGAGTGGAAGATGTCGACGCAGCGCTGCTGCCGCAACATCTCACACACGATACTGACGCTGCAGAACACGCCGCTGCGCCCACCACCGTTCCTGAGGAGGAGAAACAAACATCAGAGATGTTTTTCATTTGTCAACGATTGAACTTTACATAAAGTCAAAATCAGACTCTGAACAAAGAAGATGTCAAACAGAGAATATTAGTTGAGGAGGCCCGGCTCGGAGTTCTGCTGCTCTTTCAACAGGCTTCATGTTCTTAAAGACATCAGAGATGTTCTTTGTTCTCACCACTAGATGGAGACGAACACCATGAAAACAAACTGTCAGCGACTCAGAACCATCTGAACAAGGACAGAACCTGACGGACCTGATCCAAACCATGAGCCTCCACCACCGTGCTGAAGGCTGGGAGGGGCTGCAGAGCATTCTGGGTAAACATCTGTCCTCTGCTCTGGTTCTGGCCCAGAAGTCTTGTGGTTTCTTCAGATTAAACTAATTGATGCCGCCATGTTGTTTCTGAGAGAAGAGATCATGACCTTTGACCTATGACCTGCTGAGGTCTGTAGATTCTGACATGGGAGCTCAGCGCACAGTCTGACCTTCAGGGTGAATTTGCCAGGAAAGAAGTATTGTGTAGTACTAATTGCCGTTATAGTAAGTACTTTGTGTAGTACTATGCTGGTGAAGATTGTCAGTCATCCAGGACATGATGAATTCAAAAAACTTTCAATACAAAAACATCTGGACTTTATTTGTAACAGAAGACGTTTCACTCATCATCCGAGGAGCTTTCTCAATTCAAAGAGCAGAGATGAGGGGCTCAGGTTCAGCAGAGATGTAGTACTAATTATAGTAATACTTGATAC